CACGACTGAGAGCGAGGGCCTCACGACTGAGAGCGAGGGCCTCACGACTGAGAGCGAGGGCCTCACGACTGAGAGCGAGGGCCTCACGACTGAGAGCGAGGGCCCCACGACTGAGAGCGAGGGCCTCACGATTGATAGCGAGGGCCCCACAACTGAGACACGACTGAGAGCGAGGGCCTCACGACTGATAGCGAGGGCCCCACGACTGAGAGCGAGGGCCCCACGACTGAGAGCGAGGGCCTCACGACTGATAGCGAGGGCCCCACGACTGAGACACGACTGATAGCGAGGGCCCCACGACTTAGAGCGAGGGCCTCACGACTGGGAGCGAGGGCCTCACGACTGATAGCGAGGGCCTCACGACTGAGAGCGAGGGCCTCACGACTGATAGCGAGGGCCTCACGACTGACAACAAGGCCTCACAATCAGAATGGGCTGGGAGTCCTAACAAGGTGCCTCTTGAGGCCTCAGAATGTTTTGTGAGAGGTCCTCAAAAATGGGGAAATTAATGAAAACCTCACAAAGGCTTGGATAACTCGAGGCGAAATGTAGAGCAAAGGCAGGGGCTTTCCACGGCCGATTTATCGTTGGCCTATCGCCGGCAAACCGTAAACCTGCCATAATTTTTGATAGGGGTTTTCGAGAGCAGCGATAAGGATTTTTTGGTGAGCGGCAAACAGAGCGCCGCTGCAATCAATATAGCGTCGCCGCTGCAACCCTGCAGGAAAAAATGTCGGGAAAAAACGTCGCTCAAACGGCAGGCTGCAACTGATACATCGGCGGTGATGCAATGCGGCGGAGTGGCGGAGGAATACCGCCGGGATGTGGAGGTGCGGCGGCGACGCGGCGGAGAAACACGGTCGGGATGTGGAGGTGCGGCGGCGACGCGGCGGAGGAATACTGCCGGGATGTGGAGGTGCGGCGGCGATGCGGCGGAGGAATACCGCCGGGATGTGGAGGTGCGGCGGCGATGCGGCGGAGGAATACCGCCGGGATGAGATGGCGCAGACGATGGCAGCAAACGATGGCAGCAGACGATGGCAGCAGATGATGGCAGCAGACGATGGCAGCAGATGATGGCAGCAGATGATGGCAGCAGATGATGGCAGCAGATGATAGCTGGCCACATCACTACCTAATATACAGTAGGCAAAGTAAACGTAACAAATATCGTCGAAAAACAGCTCAACATCAGTGAAAAAAACAAACATCAACAACAAAGAGTGAAACATAAGTGAAAAAAATCAATCCCAGCAGCCGCCAATCATTCGCTCAGTGATTGTCTCACGTGGCAATCATTAGCGTCAGTTCACCGCGACGCTTACAAGCTCTCGCGCAACACAATCATTGCTATCATCTTGCTACAACTTGTTTACATCGTTCAATTCAACCTAAGTTCAGCTCATTAGCTCAATAATAGATTCTTTAAATAATGCATGGAGTACAACCATGTAAATTAAATCTTCTAAATGTTTATAAATTCAATATATATAAAAAATAAAACAAGAGGATAGTCTCTTATATTTACGCAATTTCTGAAGAAATGACGAGTTAATTGTTAACTCAATTCAGGTGAGGCATCGTAGAAAGGTTTGTACGCTCTTCAATAAAAAATATTCTTGAATTTCACTTCTGATATACTCAAAATTATTAATTGAAATAACCTTGAAAAAGATCAGTCAAACTATCACTCAATTAAATTAAAAAAGAAGCAAATAGTTTTTCAAGAAAATTTCCTACTATTATATGAACGAACTCTCAAAGTTCCTTGACCTGCACACTCTACATCAAGACATGATAACACATAATAAATATTGACTTGTAAAAATATAACTTATACATCTTTATTCGTTGTTTTTCGTTACATGAGATATGATTATTTTCCACATTTTAATTAATTCTCACCATGAAAATAATGCGGTGCTTACTGCTTAGCGGTCATAATAACGTAGTCTGCCCTCCGGCTTGTCAGCCAGGCACAGCAGTGACTGCAATAAACTGCTGGGCATTGGTCATGCTGGGAGAACTGCTGGGCTGTGATCATGCTGGGAGAACTGCTGGGCAGTGGTCATGCTGGGAGAACTGCTGGGCTGTGGTCATGCTGGGAGAACTGCTGGGCAGTGGTCATGCTGGGAGAACTGCTGGGCAGTGGTCATGCTGGGAGAACTGCTGGGCAGTGGTCAAGTGTTGAAGTACAGCAGTAACTGTACATTGGTAAAGCATATTTATTTCTGATGAATATTCATATTCCGAATATGTGTTACAGTTAAGCGCGGCATGAACATTACAGTGGTTGCTGCACTGTACCTCTCAGCTGTAATTAATTTTACTGTGCAGATGTAGTTAATTTTTACGATTTTACTATTTATGTAAAATCAACTCACAATCCCTATTCAAACCGAATATATTTCTTAAAATTTTGTTCAAATCGACTTTTGAAAACTATGATTGCGTGCAATATGTATATGATTAGTTATAAATTTTTGTATATTTATAGTGACGTTATGTATGAGATAGATGAGTGATCAGTATATCATATAAGTGCATTACAAATTTATGTATCCGTAAAACATATATATAATTGAAGACTAATAACTAATCTACAGGATATTATTTACAACTCTAGTTAATCAAACCAATACTATTCCTAACTCAAGTTAATCAATACACACCATAATGCAACTTTTGTTTGTGATAATACTTTTATAAACTACTTCTTTCAATTGATCGTAATAATAAATTCTGTCGTATGAAGTTGAAAACTTCTGCGTATCAATCTCATTTTATTTATAACTCATGCTAACCAATCGCATATTTTTTTAAAACTACTGTCAATCCATCTTATATTATTTGCAACTATTGTCCATCAATCGTTTATTCTTAACAACTCCTGTCCATCAATCAAATATTCTTAACAACTCCTGTCCATCAATCATATATTCTCAACAACTCCAGTCCATCAATCATATATTCTCAACAACTCCTGTCCATCAATCATGTATTCTTAACAACTCCTGTCCATCAATCATACATTCTTAACAACTCCTGTCCATTCTTAACAACTCCTGTCCATCAATCATACATTCTTAACAACTCCTGTCCATCAATCATATATTCTTAACAACTCCTGTCCATCAATCGTATTATTTTCACAGTTCCAGTCGCCGAAAAGTTCACCATTGCGATTGAGTTGCTGTGTTGACCAGCGCTTCGTGACGTCGATTTTATTCTTGTTATTTGCTGTACAAACATCGTTTGGCGTCAGCTGCGCCTGCGTCATTATTGTGTGACGCACACGATGCACGTCCTACGTCGCACGGCTCATGACGCAGGGCTCAAGACGCACGACTCAAGACGCACGGCTCAAGACGCACGACTCAAGACGCATGGCTCAAGACGCACGGCTCAAGACGCATGGCTCATGACGCACGGCTCAAGACGCACGGCTCAAGACGCACGACTCAAGACGCATGGCTCAAGACGCACGGCTCAAGACGCATGGCTCATGACGCACGGCTCAAGACGCACGACTCAAGACGCATGGCTCAAGACGCACGGCTCAAGACGCACGGCTCAAGACACACGGCTCAAGACGCACGGCTTAAGACGCACGGCTCAAGACGCACGGCTCTTACACACGGTACAAGACGCACGGCTCAAGACGCACGGCTCACGACGCACGGCTCAAGACGCACGGCTTAAGACGCACGGCTAACGACGCACGGCTCAAGACGCACGGCTTAAGACGCACAGCTCAAGACGCACGGCTCAAGACGCACGGCTCAAGACACCAGGCTCAAGACGCACGGCTCAGCACGGCTCAAGACGCACGGCTCAAGACGCACGGCTCAAGACGCACGACGCACGACGCAAGACACACGCGGCGCACGCCTTGTACGCAGGTCGCCCCCAATTAGCGACATAATTTATTCAGATGTGCCAGAGTTTGTCGTGCCTGAAGAAGCTACATCGACCGATAATATAGCACCCTTATGCCTATATATTCTTCTATATATATTTACCTAAGCAGTCTATATCTACACTCGTATACGCCTGAACCTCGCGCACGCATTGATTATGCGTGGCCACAATGCGTATACGCCTTGAATTCTTCAAGGGCGCTCACGGCGTAAACGCTTTGTTATTTCTTGTCTCTTGTTTAGCAGCTATTGATTGTTTTTGGTTCACTTTTTACCACAATTTTCTTTCCAGTTTTAGCTTGCAAAGAAATGCTCTAAAACATTTTTCACGTTAATATAGATTTTACATTCCACTACCACCATTATTAAGATTTTGTTTCATTTATATATATAGTTAATTTGATTTTTTTCGTCTTAGTAATGGGATGAAATCAGATATTTTTCTATATTTCAATATTTCAATACTTTCTATATTTTTTACAAATAACACTTGGTTAACATTTCATTGTAGTTTAGTTTAATTAAGACCGAATTATTTTATTTTTAACGCTATATTGAAAAATTAATTGATGTTAAAACAATTACATATAAAAACATTGACTGTGATCTGAACATTCTCTCCCAACCTAAACATTGAAACAAATTCATTGTTCAATCCAATTCATTCAATTCATTTACGTTCAGAGAGTCGAATTCACTATCCACAAAAAATGCGCACACATTCACTATTCACCTCAAAATACGCACACATTCACTATCCACAGAAAAATACGCGCACATTCAATATCCATAAAAAATTACGCACACATTCACTATCCACAGAAAAATACGCGCACATTCAATATCCATAAAAAAATACGCACACATTCACTAGCCACAGAAAAATACGCGCACATTCAATATCCATAAAAAATTACGCACACATTCACTATCCACAGAAAAATACGCGCACATTCAATATCCATAAAAAAATACGCACACATTCACTAGCCACAGAAAAATACGCACACATTCACTATCCACAAAAAATGCGCACGCATTCACTATTCACCTCAAAATACGCACACATTCACTATACACCGCAAAATACGCACATATTCACTATCCATAGAAAAATACGCTCACATTCTCTATACACAGAAAAATACGCACATTAAACACGCAAGTGCCTCATGTACATGTAATGTACAGATTTAAATTAAAATGCGCATTACACATGTATACATTTAAAAAGAATAATCCACATGCAATATTCAATATAAAATATACAATGCATGAAAAATAATTTCATCTTGCAACATACAACATGTAATATTGAATACCATAAGCAATTCAACATACAACATCAAATATAAACATCCAACAATAAACATACACCATTTAACATAAGCAATCAACGTCCACTATTCAACATTCATTCATCACGATGATCATGTAATCCATAATTCAAGTCCTCCATTTGTCCCCATGGTGCCATAAATCAAATTGCCCCACTGTGGCCACCGTGGGCTATACATCAATTCCTGGCCATGAGTCAATTTCGTACTCATTTTGTCTATTCTGTACCCATTTTGAAAATTTGTCCCCAAGTTGCCAATTTGTCAATTTGTAACATAGATACTAAAATTTACTTTTGCTCCAAGGTTGTTATTTGAGCCCAATTTTAGCGTTTCTTCCAGATTTGTAAATTTTTTCACTATTCTTCAATTTGTAACCAATTGGTCAATTCTTTTTTTTTAATATATGCCCCATTTGTCGATTCTTCCTTAGTCGTCTTTTCATTAGTTTGCGCACATTTCGCATTTTTTTTTAATATGAAGCCAAATTTTCAATTGTACTCAATTTCCCATTTGTACCCAATCTGTCAATCTGTACCCAATTTATAAATTTTTATCCAATATGACATTATGAACCCAAATAGTCAATTTTTACCTTATTCGTCAATTTATACCCAATTTGTCAATTTTTACCAAATTTGTCAATTCATACCCAATTGGTCAATTAACCTCCAAATTGGCAAATTTGTTCCCAATCTGACAATTTTACTCAGTTTCTCAATATGCACTTAATTTTCAATTTCTACTCAAATTCTCAACTTGCTCAAAGTGTATGGTATATGATATATGGTACATGGTGAATGCTATATGGTATATAGTATATGGTATATGATATATGGTACATGGTATATTTATATTTTTACCTCCCAAGCCAATTTGTACCCCCATCCAAGCCCTTTGTCCATGACGAGCACAAAAGGTTCCGTCGCGGCAGAGGTTCGCTCAAATGAGCTGGAATATCGACGCGGTATTCCGGCTCAGGTGGCAGCAGTGGCAGTCGCTCACTGGCCTGCAGGTGAGCTACAGTTACTGCAGTGCAGTCGTGGCATTTACTGCGTGTGTTGGAGCGACAGTTACTTGCTAGGCAACAGTTGTTCCACAGTTACTGTAGTGCAGTCGTGGCAGTTACTGCGTGTGTTGGAGCGACAGTTACTTGCTGCGCTACAGTTGTTCCACAGTTATTGCAGTGCAGTCGTGGCAGTTACTGCGTGTGTTGGAGCGACAGTTACTTGCTGCGCTACAGTTGTTCCACAGTTATTGCAGTGCAGTCTTGACAGTTACTGCGTGTGTTGAAACAACAGTCACATGCTGGGCTACAGGTGGGCCACAGTTACTGCAGTGCAGTCGTGGCAGTTAGTCTGTATGTAACAACAGTGAAAATGTACAGGCTAATATTATTTAGATTTCTTGCATTGGAACTAGAGTGACTACTGTAACAATTATACATTTACTGTCTGTGTGGGCTGCAGTTACACTGTAACGATGCTCATACAAGGCAGATACTGCGATGTATTTTCAGCAGTTATTGCGAAGAAGTCTTGATACTTAATGCAGTGCAAATAAATCTGTTACTATCCATGATGGTGGAAAAAATTTAATGCGGTGTATGCGTTGTTAAAATTAAAAAAATTGATTTGGTAACAAATTTAATGCGTTGTACAGAATAGGCAGCAGCTGCAGTGCAGGTGCAGTATAATAACCAATACTTCTCTATGCACTTTAAAAGCGACTGCACCCAACAATAATATAATTTTCGAGCAGTGCAGTTCCTGTGATGCCAGAGCCAGTGAATGCGACTGATGCAGTGAATGACACTACATTATAAGAAGAATTTACACTGCAAAAGTTCCTAGGTGATAATCCAGAAGACATTTACATTTTTTACATTTAAACGATTGTTCAGTCGTTTAAATGCTAAATGCCTAATTTTCAGGGATTATAATGTAAAAAATTCTATCATTACTATATGGTAAAACTTTTCAAAACTAGAATGTAAAATTTTCGGTAATTAAAATGCAAAGTGTTTGATCAATAAATTCTATAATTTTTGGTAGTTAAAAAGTAAACATGTTCATTCATCAAAATGTAAAATTTTTGGTAGGTAAAATGTAGAATATACGTTCATTATTATGTGTAATATATTATTAGAAATTTTTATGATTGTAAAGCATCGATGGAAATATAGCCGCTTGCTTGCGCATTTGAAGCAAAACCAAAACCATAGACAGTAGCGACTAAGGGTCTATGCCATGCAATTATTAAGGTCTATACTAAGGGACTATGCCATGCATGAATTAAGGTCTATACTAAGGGTCTATGCCATGCCAGAATTAAGTCTATACTAAGGGTCTATACCATGCATGAATTATGGTCAATACTAAGGGTTAAGGCCAAGAAAGAATTTTACACACTATCCATTATTATAGTGCATATAATTTGACTGATTAAACTGATTTAAGTTTTAATTAAAATTATCACGGATAATAAATAAGTTAAATGAGTTGTGTGCAGTTTTACGGTGATAATGAAACGTACGTATAGTCAAATATTGTGATTTTAATAACTATAATGCATATAATAGATTTATATAAAAACTGATTCATTAATTGCCCTGCAAATTAAGTTGCTCATATTCTTTCATAACGACGCTTCTTAACAATTGTTCGGCTGAAAGATTTATTTTGACCAATTGAATTTCACAGGGATTTGAAATAAACTAAGTAATGTTGAGTGCAGTTGCAGTGATGAATTTCTTACTCATGAGTCTATGTTGGGGAATAGTGGGAGAGTCCAGACAGTTCATCCTACCCCATGCTTCCCCCACTCCCACACATCCTCATGACACCCACCATGAGATCCTCGATCAGTCCCGACCCCAGCAGCAGCCCCAGTCTTCAGCTAAACCACTTCCACAAACCTTATCTCCGAAGACCAATTATATATCCAGTGATATTAATTCATTGGATGTATCTCTTGATAAATTTGATTTAAAATCAGACAATTTCAAGCTGTTCCAATCAAAG